ACCTATTCAAAATTTCCAGAAGGGAAGCCGGTTTTCTTACGAGACGTATGCAAAATTTCCAGTAGTGAAACCGGTTTACCCCCAAGTTCGTTATATATWTTTTTCGCTCATTTTTAGGCTTCCAAAAAACTTTTTGAATTGGAAAGTATTACTCAAATTCTGCTTTTACATTTGCAGAGTTATTGGCACGTTGTCCAACATGGAGGAATTTTCAAAAGTTTACAAGTGTAAGAAAGGTGACAAAATGAATCCTGAAAAGAAGTGTGAGGTCTGGTAGACCATTTTTGGACGCCTCACAACAACACCGCAAGTCAATAAGGTTACTAGTTTTTATTTTGACAGTGTTTTTAAAAAGATAGTTTTTAATAGTATTGGAAACTGATATATCATAAAGCGGAATTGCTTTAACAAAATGGTACGCCTAAAAGCTTTCTTGAGTGTCTTAGGAGATGGGGTTGGCTTCCTAAATACAGACTTTATTCAGGAAATTGTTGGTTACGTAAGAGGAAATTCTAATTCACGGGTGCTTAAAGGGAAGCAAATCATAAAAGATACAACTGCGACTATCAACTGTTTTCGCCAAAGAAACAATTTAGACTTTTTAAAAAATCCGGTTAATAAGACTTCAACTTGCCCTATCAACTGGCAAATACCGAGGGACTCTCGACAAGAGTACTATTCAGCCTTGGAAAATGCAGCAACCTTAAAAMGTTATAAACAAATGCGTAGAGTCGTCGAGAAAATAATGTTTATACAGAGTTTAGAGAAAAGAATGTAAGCGAGAAGTAAACTAGAATATCTAACACTGTAATGGCTTCTGAATTCTAGCATGGTGGAAGCCATTGGTCTCAGCAAATGGTTTTCGAATTCAAGCATTTTGATTGGATAATAAACATTTATTTTCGATTGGTAGATGGTGGAAGCCATTCAAATGTTACAATACTAAATGTGACCTTAAAATCTAAATCTAAAATTCAAACAATATTTAAAGATGCCAATAAATTATTGAAGATTAGATTATTAATGAATGTTGATTTAATATTGATAACAATTAATTAAATATATTTTTTAAATGACTTGAAATAAATATTAAATCCATAGCGATTTAAATTGTAAAAACCATTTTCAATTGTTCGCTTTTGTTTAATCATATTTATTATCTTGGCAATGCAGTGCATTGTGGGGCTGTTTTGGGGGACAAAATAGACAGACGCCATCTTGGAAATATGTTCCCTGAAGAAGCCCCACAATACTCGGCGGCCAACTCGACCTAGTTTTTTCCTCAGTCTTATGAGCAAAGAACAAAAAACTTATGCTTATTTGTCCCCTGAAATGGGAAATGTCTTTGACTGAATCGTTAGGGATTAAGAAAGCAAGAGGACCTCAATCATTCAGTCTCGTGAAATGAAACATCATTGTTATCCCAAAAATAAACCATTTCTATTGGCAGAGGGCAACTCTATATTATCTTGGCTAGAACGCGGTTTAAATTACCGGATCCTCGTCCATATTTTCGATGTTGGCGTACATGTGACTTTGGTATTTGGTCATGTCGAGCTCCAGATAGTACTGTAAGATAAGAGATATAAGCAGTCAAAATCTTGGACATGATGACGCCTAGAAAGCAGGAGGCCGGTGAGGGCGGGGGTGGGGGRGATTACAGGTGTCAAAATTTTGCGTAGTGGGGGGAGGCGAGGGGATGGTGAGAGAAAAGTATTTGTCGAGGTAGCTAAAGAACTGGAAGATTTTTTCTTAGTAGGGGATGGGATTGAGTGAAAGGCGTTTCTTGTCTATAATCTATGGCTTGTAACATGGCAACTACAGAACAGAACACATACATCTGTTTCAACCATCTTGGTCAGGGCCTTGTGTAACTCGTCAAAGCTTGGTCTTAATTCGGGATCTTTCCTCCAGCATGATACCATTATATCGTAACTAAAGAAATAATAAAACATAGATAAACTATAAAAGATATAAACTATAACATAAAACCAAAGTAACCATGCACTGCAGTGCAAACTCCACCCAGTTTTTATTCTGAACCTAGGAATGGCTAATGAAATATAGAAATAAATAAGATATAAATGAATAAATAATGAAATTACAAAAGTAACTCTGAAGTAAACCATGGTAAAGTTTGAATCCTCATCAAGTAACTTAGTCCCCCACGCAGCCGCTGTTAGTATCATCACTCAACGCTCCGACTCCCCTAGAAGATTTCATAACAGTGAAAAAATATTTTAAATAAATTACTTCAAATCATAGAGAAAATGCTGAAGAGAACTTACATTTCGTCATTGATGTGTTCTGGTTTCGGCATGATGTACCTGTCGCTTTTGATTTTGCAGACAATATCCCACTCACCCAGCCCGGGGTAGGGATCACCACCTGCAATGAACGGGACAATCATGCAACATGTATCAGTCATTAACAATGTGTATAGAATRATATGGGAAATATCGACATTCGCCGGATTCTTACCGATTGTGAAAATCTCATACAATGTTATGCCATAAGACCACCTAAAAAGATAAACATTGGTCAGCAAATTAGCAAAATAATAATAATAAATAAATAATAATAAATAAATTTCTGTCAATTATCATTAAAATCCAAGTCGTTATCTTTGCTCGTAGGTGACATCACATCACGTCACTTCTGCCATCTTTTCTCGTGTCACTTCATACGTCTCCGCTTACTAGCTTAGCTAAAAACTAAATATCGGTGTCTCCATATTTGTTTGCATGTTCCAAGCAACATGCTTGTCATTTTGGTTTTGTTTCACAATTACTACCGCCGTATTTATTTGTGCATGACGTCATATCTACCATCTTAGTTTGATTATAGACGTCACTGCCGCCATCTTGTTGAATTGTGGGTGACGTCACCTCCTCCATCTTTGTTTTATTTGGAACTATTGCTGCACTATTGGGGACTTTGTGATAACTAGTTATTGCAGAATGTTTAAGTGAATCAATGTATAGAAATAACTAAGGATAGAATGTTGAGTCCTGACTTACACATCGCACTGTGACGTAATACTTATATTGGCATCGCCGGTTATAAACACTTCGGGTGCTGTCCATTTGATTGGCAGACGACCCTAAAAAATCACAACACATTTACTGTTATAAATCTCGCGTTCTGATTGGTTGGAAAGGCGTGTATTATGAGAGCACACAGCACACAGCACGTACACGTGCTTTCGTTTTCGTTATTGATATCCAAGATAACGATCATAATATTAATGTCTCTTTAATAGTATATACCATAAAAGCTAAGAAAAGACAGGAAACTTGTTGTAGGATATCTTACTTTTCGACTTCCCATGTAGCTATTGCCGTCCTGCATTACTTTTGCCAACCCAAAATCAGTGATTTTGCAAACCAAGTTTTCACCAACCAAGACGTTACGAGCAGCAAGATCTCGGTGAATYACCTACCAACACATTGGAAAGAAAGTATGTATCACATGCATGTCAGTGATAAATACCAAATAGGATCAAACCCTCAATACCATAAAGTATCCCCACCCCTTCCACCCTAAACACCGCCTTATCATGCATGCGGATCAGTTCAAATGTAAGAACAGAATTAGATTATCAGTTGTTTATTTCAGTGTCCTTGTCGTGTGCTATTTATTAAAGAAACGACACCACTTTTAAACGCTTATCATCGCTCTTAACCACKGTCATTAACCGCGCATGCCCAGTTTCCCTTCTTCCACAAACCTTGTTCTTGGCAAGAAAAGACATCCCACACGCGATTTGTGTAGCAAAGGAGAAAAGTTCATAAGGCGAAATTTCTTGTTTCTGTGGCAGCTCTTCACAATGATAATAGAACTTGTCTTTGATGCCACGACTCTCGCGTAGATATCCAAGAAGATCGCCATACGGAACGAACTCCATGACCATCATTACCATGTCTAAAGATGGAGA